AATCCTATTTCGAAAATGTTCTGTAACTTTTTACTGCAATTGAATATGGCAAAACGCAGACACACTTTTTTAGCGCTTTTTGTCCTGAAACCAAGGAAAGAAATAAATTGGCAAAAAACAAAATTCGCTTTGACTTGTAGCTTCCAAAAGGTGATTAGGACACTCACATTCAGCAGCCTTGAAAAAATCAACAGTTCATTTTATTTCAAACTTTTTGGTATGGTTTGATAGCCAGCTCTATAAGCTTCAATTTGATACAGAGGTTTAGGTATCTACAGCTTAAACAGGACGTACTACATCGCTTGGATGCGAGACACCCCTGAAGGTATACGGTAACCTTATCAAATTTTATAAGTGGCAAAGGCATGGTGCATAGCACTGTACAGCAATGCCCATTACCATCATGGCATGTTAAAAATCTAAATCACTTTGTCAGTTGCCCCTAAAATTTAATGTGCTATAAATGTTCATTGATCCAAGAATTTGGAAAAAAATTGTTTAGTTTAAATAAAATCTATCTTTATGTAGACCAATGCATAATGATATTGTTATTAGTTTATACTCTAAAGTTGTCAAAATGGTTTAATTTTAAGTTAAGGTTATAGTTTTTGAAATGAAAACTAGCGCTAAAAAGTCACAACGTTTTGACCTCTCTGAGGTCATTTTCAAGTGAGTAAAATTTTTCTAAATTAGCTTAAATATGTTAAAAACAAGTTATAATAGATAAAAATGTGGCGAACGCTAAAATCTGATAAAATATGTGAAAAAGTGTAAAAAATATACAATGGAAAAATAACATAGTGATTAGCAAGAATTGCTCTAAACAAATAATTTGGTGGGAATTGAATCGCACTGTTTGTTTAACGTTGGTTTCGGTTCTTTGATAAAAAACATTTCAAAAATAAGGTGCGTGGTGTATTCATTTCAGTGTGGCCTGTGTGATGTAGGCTATGTTGGCTACACGTGCCAACACCTACACCAACGAATTGAAGAACACAAAGGATCGGCAATCGGAACCACCTCAGAGAACAGCACCATATGGAGCCAGAAGACATAGCACAGAGTTTTCGAATCTTAAGAAAGTGTCACAACAAATTTGATTGCCTCATTTTTGAAATGCTTTTTATCAAAGAATTGAAACCAACGCTAAACAAACAGTGCGATTCAATTCGTGCCAAATTATTTGTTTAGAGCAATTCTTGCTAAGATTATTTTATTCTTCCATTGTATATTTTTTACACTTTTTCACATATTTTATCACATTTTAGCATTTGCTACATTTTTATCTATATTATAACTTGTTTTTAACATGTTTATGCTAATTTAGAAAAATTTTACTCACTTGGAAATGACCTCGGAGAGGTTGAAATGTTGTGACTTTTTAGCACTAGTTTTTATTGAATAGTTTTAATTAGTATTTAATTTGTGATTTTTACCTGATGAATTGTGATATTGGCGTTGATTAGTTGCCAGGTTCTCATTAGTTATTTGGTGGAATACCTGTAAACTAGCTCTCAAGCTAAGCGTATATCCATGTTAATTTTTATTTACTTATTTATTATTTATTTAAGAAACTACTTATCAAGGTTATAGTCTTGCTGAAATCACAGACATGTGTGGATTGAGTTAATTTGTAAGACTGCCAAGTTTTCTTCCTAGCGAGTAATATTCTTGAACAATGGTTTCAGACGTAATTACAAGTCATATACAGTACATGTATAATATCTAACTCATTGCTCAAGTTCCTTGTAAGTGTTTGAATGGTTTCCTTTTTTTCTCTGATCTTTTAGGCACCCACTGTTGTCGACGGAAAGCGAGATGAAGCAGAGGCCATTTCTCAACGTGAAAATCTAGTGCAGACACTTCTAGGAATATTGAATGATGCAGCTTCATTTGGTGTGGGTCCTAGTGCAAAGGATTTTATACCAACTCGCCAGACTAGAGGATACTCAAGCCCTAGTCCAGATATAGGCAGACATATACCTAAAAAGAAGGAGTAAGTCATTACTTGAGAAACTTTGCAAGTTTTTGTGTTTCAAGGAACAAGATCACTGAAGTTAATGGTGAATAACTTTTTTGGTTTGACAAATAACTTCAGCAAAGCCCCAAGAACTGTTAAGAGATCAAATTATATAGAAAATAGGCCATATTTGTGTTCTTGGTATTGCATTGGAAGTCAAACTACATGTAGTTTGGGGTTAATATCATTTGCATTTGAAAAGACTCCCTGCGTTAGCCTCGGTTGGAAGCTACTGGTGGTTTCAGTCCAATATCAAGAATACAAAAAAGGTCTATTGAATGAATGCAAGTTTTTACACTACCAGCGTATGAGCCATCAGACTTACTGAGAAAATTCTAACCGCAAATGTGTTAGTGATCACTGCAGTCCTGGTCAAAGATTAGCGATAAATTGGCCTGTTCTTAGCCAATCACAATGAAGTAATTTTTGTAGTCATATGATGAATTCTTTAATTCTGGTGTTGTGTTCAAATTTCAAGAGAAGTTCCCATTTTATAAAAGCCTGTCGCACAAAACTTGATGTACAGTAGTTATCTAGTAAGTGACTTCACTGGTCCAGCAAGGAGTGTAATGAATTCTAGTCTTGTTATAGCTCCTTGGTTAAAGTTCACTCTTGTCTAATAGCTTGTTACCATGCAGGCAGACATGCTGTATATGACAAAGACTGCTAGGCTATACAGGCCATCTATATATACTGAAGGTTTTGATATTAGGTGTCTTATTACTGACATTGTCTTTGGCTCTATATTAGAACTCTAGCTTCTAAAGCACAGGCCGTGGCAGCAGCAGTGAACCGCCCTCTACCACATTACAAGCTGGGAGACCTGGGAATAGTTCCCAGGTCCCATCCAAAGCTTGGAGAGAGGACCGGGGCTTCTTCACCACTGGCTCCCATTAGCAAGCAGACCAGAAGTATTGGTGTACAAACTGTTAGTGCACAGAAGGTCAGTGTCGACACATCTCTTACACAAGTGTTGAAGTTCTTGGTCTCATAATTCCTGTAAATTCGACATTGGGTAGCATACAAATGAAGGTGGACATCAACTTTAAATGTTTGCATTTTACAAGCATGGTGGATTTTAGCCACATTTTTGAAGCTTCGTAGCCAATAGTGTAGAACGTGCTGAAGCTCTAAATTGTGTTATTTCTTGAGTAAACGTCTCTCTTACGATCTTTCCCAGTACCCCACTTACACTATATGTGGAAAAAATCGAGGTTTTAATGACAAAATATTTTTTTGTAACCTGACAGATAAGAGTCATGCATTAGAAATTATGTTCAGTGAACTATGGCGTGGTAATTAATGAAAGTTATTTCTCCGTATTTGTGATCTTTGTGTTTTTCTTTCTTTTTTTACAGGCCATGTTTTTCGCTGATCAGCTCCTTTCCAAACGAAGTCCTACTTCCTCTAGTCACTCCATATCGCGTGACTACCATTCACCAATCAGAACAGAGCTACCTGTTGGCAGCGGGTCACGTGGAAGAATACCTTAAACGGGGCGCTGCCAAGTACAGACAACAGGTTTTCTATTTAGTTTTTCTGCAAGAAACCACCCTGTCTCCGTGGTGAATGACTTTAGTCTAGTTACTTTGCGAAGTAGTTGGATTTATTCACTACAAGAGATTGCTGTAGGCCACCGTTCTCTGGAATGAACTGGTACAAGTTTCCTTCGATGTGGAAGCCGCTTTCAAGGCCATACTGGAGTATGACTTACTAACTCTAACTTATGCGCAAACAAACTATGTACACATATTTCCAGTTCAGCCACATTGTTGTATCAATTCCATCAAAATCCCACTTTGTAAATAGTGTAATTTTCTCACTCATGTCCGTGAGCAATGAATATATTTTTCTCTCCGCTTTTGGTGTAAATGTCGCTTTATAAAGTTGGTGATACGCCTTATAATCCAATGAAAGATATGAATAGAGTTTGTTACTCCGCGTCGCTTGAATACATTTTTGTTGTGTTTGTTGGCGAGTGAATACCAAACTAGAAGGCTTACAAGGTGCGACCTTTTTAAATTTGTAAATATATCTTCTGTTGCAATAAATAAGGTTATTTTGATGCCTACATATCTTCTGATAGAAGGAAAATAAAGAATGATACCGGTTTCGCCCCATGGCGAGTTCGCCTCCACTATAAAATTTCTATTTCGAGTTCGCCCCCAACTTTTCGACTTTGCCCCAAAATTTTGTGTCCGTGTTTACGTAGTTGTCATCGAGTTATTTAACGTTTTCGAACAACTATTTCAGTCTATGTATGTTTATGTCATCTCGCCATCAGGGAGTCTTGCCACCAACGAACTCCTGGTCGCCACCAAGCAAAGTTTCCTCGCCTCCAGTAATTTAATAAGGCAGTGGATAAAAGAACGAGCAATAATCTCTATATTCGACTCGATCTGGTAGGGGGCGAACTCGATCAAGTTGAGTCGATGTGGGGGCGAACTCGGTGGGGGCGAACTCGCCATGGGGCGAAACCGACAGCTACCAAATAAATTGGCAGGGTATAGCTGACTGAATGAAAATCAAATAACTTGGCCACCGAGTTTGCGTTCAAGATGGCGCAGGCCACTCTATCGGCATTCAGCTGGCCAAAACGGGGGCACACGACAGGCATGGGTGGGAACCTAAAGTGAGTTAGATACTTCACTGACGATGAGCACCGTATACCTTCATGGGTACCGGTGTGTCCAGTCCGACGGAATAATGACGTCAAATGTATATTTTTCCGTGTGTATGGGTTTTATGGAAAATCTTGTCCAAGATTTTCGAAACACTGCATAGCTGTGAATGGATACATTATCAGCGTTAGCAACGCAGCAAACGTTTAGGAAACTTCGTAACAATTCTGCCACACCCTGCCCTGCGTTTGGTAACAACTTATAAGCAGCCTCAATCGTGAAACAGATACACAAATTCCTTAAATCAACGGGTTTGTCTTACCTTCCGTAACCATGACAGGAGCAATGAGGAACCGGTCACAACTCTGACAAGTCTGGTGGAATGAGCTTGAAATCTAAAGCTATCTAAAATGGCGAGAAATGATTTTCCAGCCTTGCCGTTTATTATCGACTGTTTCCGAAGACTTTTCCACTAAGATCACCCAACCAAATCATCAAGAGTTCTCCGCAAAATCAATAGATGACAAGGCCAAGCGAGGAATACCGGTAGTCTTAAGCTTATGTTGATTCAAAATGCAAAACAAAACCTGACAATTCTTTTTTGACAATAGCAATTATTATACTCAAATTAAACCAATCTTTACTCGTTACTCGAACTTGAATCAGCCTCAAACTTGACTTGTGCTACGACTGAAACCGTACACTGACACAATTACCGCCGTGCCATGGGTAGTTCGTCGATCGAGTTGACGTTTAAGAGCGGCCCAATTTTACAACTGAATGACTGAACGGGGCAGAGTGGGTGGGGGAGGGGTGAGGGGGAGAATCAACGTCACAGTCCTTACTTTTGCAAGTATGAAAGGCGAACAAACTGGATTCTGGCAAGAAGAAACAAACTTTTCCTGTATTCCAAGCTTGCGGGGGTCAAGCTTTGTTTTGCTTCATGCAGGCCAGGAGAGAGTCTACTAGCTCTCGCTCTTTCTTGTAACCGTTTCGGGCGGAGAGTCAGTAACATATACGTAGCTTTCTAAATCCCGCAACCCTATCAGTTTGTTACTGATCGTCCCAAACTGAGCCTGAACTGAAGAAATAGGAGACCTGTACGTAACTATTCCAAACTTTCGTCTCTTGTATTTGCCTTAACAGTCAAGTTACGTGAAAGGTTTGACGTTTAGATACATATCTGGTATGCACGGCTAGTCATATCAGGGCAATGTCAACACGAATTGCATGACAATCAAAACACTTAAACTGTGAACTGGTTAGAAAGTCGTACGGGCGTGATCACTATTGTCAGACTTGTTCAGATTTTCATACATTCTATTTTTATTTTGATCCTAAAACAAAAACATTTACATACCAACCAGCGTTTCTTAACCTGATTGTTTGATGTTGTCTGTCCCAGAAGACTCCAGAAATGCCAAACGTGATAAAATGATGAAACAATTGAATACACTTGTCTCCTGAGGAAAGAGCCTTTGTTGTGCAAAGTACTTCGTGCAGGGGTCAGTACAACACTCATATCCAATTACTCCAGAATAAATTAGAGTATGTAACCAGCTTTAAAGTTATACCTTTTCGCTGTAGCAAAACTGTTTATCTCGCTTTCAAAACAAACCGGATATAAAACGGCACCGCACAAATGTCGACCCCATCTCTCTCTCTCTCTCCGCGCCGCGGTCATCTGAAAGATCTTTCAAACAAGGATGACATCTGTCAATTGTTTGAAAAACAAAGCTGTTTCAGTTGAGTGACCACTGCTGAGCGTAAACAGACGTGACACATCATATTGCTACTGAATTTGAAATTTTTATCCGTTGCGATGCGCGAATACCGTGCCGAGCGATCGGTTGTCCTGGTTTTACGTCTTGTTGAATTACTCGGTTATCTTGAGCCCGCATGAATTAAATCGAATTACTTTCCACAGCAATAGGATGGAAAATGTCCGTAAAAGTAAGGAAACGGCCGAAGATTTATTCTTCAAGTTTATGGACGCTCAAGACTGTCCAGAAATAACGAGCACCTTTCGAGAACTTGTCAAGCTTCTTGGAATCAAAGCGGACAATCCGCGCGAGTTTTATTCGCAGCTTAAAGGAAAACTTCAATCGTGGAGGTGCAAATCACTGTGGGAACTGTTAGACAGTCGGGCTAATCAGAAGGAGTATGGAAAAGGAAAAATATGCGAAGACACTCATGTGTTAGTCATCGGCGCAGGTCCTATCGGCTTGAGAACTGCGATTGAAGTCGCCTTGCTTGGAGCAAAAGTTGTGATTGTGGAGAAGAGGGAATCTTTTGTACGAAATAATGTCCTTCATTTGTGGCCTTTCCTACTCACGGATTTCCGTTCACTCGGTGCAAAGAAATTCTACGGAAAATTCTGTTCAGGTTCCATCGATCACATCAGTAAGTATAATTACAATATCTCTTGTTTGTGGATAATGGTTTTAGTAATTTACGTATATTTTCACTGAGAACTTGAGGTTTGTAAAATATGATTTATTTATTGGAGAAGTAATAAGCGCGCATATGTTTTAACAACTGAACCTCTACGTATCTGCTAATTGAAATATCGTTCGTCATAGCTATTTAATAACAATATAATATCGGTATTTCCTTTCGCCATTCCTAATTCTGACTTAACAGTAACAGGAAATCTGTCAAGTGTGTAGAAACATACAACGGTTTAATATAACGTCTACATACAATTGTTTTCCGAAGATCTGGCTTGCTTATTGTCATAACTGCGGACCAAATATATGTTTTCTTGATTGTTAAGAAACAATTCGATTGCTTGGAACGGATGATCGCATCAAAACAACGTTGCGCTCAACCACTGCATGGATTTATTAATGAACAGGCCGGCTGAATTTTTTTCTGCAACGAAATCTTGTCACTCCAATGTCCCAGAAAGCTAAAATGATCGCGCAGTCCTTGTTGTTCGTAGCGACACGATAAGCCCTCGTAATCCTCAACAACATCATTTACTTTGTGAATTTGTTGAGAGTTGTTTATCAAATCGCCGTAGACTGGGAGATAATTTTCAAGGGGATTTTTAGTAAAGGAGATCAGATTTTTGAAACGCAAGCGTATTTAATATTAGTGATGACATTTTGTGGGGATTTTAAAATTTGCGCGCGTGGATACACGCGGCTGACAAGCTTGGACAGGATTTNGGCGAACTCGCCATGGGGCGAAACCGACAGCTACCAAATAAATTGGCAGGGTATAGCTGACTGAATGAAAATCAAATAACTTGGCCACCGAGTTTGCGTTCAAGATGGCGCAGGCCACTCTATCGGCATTCAGCTGGCCAAAACGGGGGCACACGACAGGCATGGGTGGGAACCTAAAGTGAGTTAGATACTTCACTGACGATGAGCACCGTATACCTTCATGGGTACCGGTGTGTCCAGTCCGACGGAATAATGACGTCAAATGTATATTTTTCCGTGTGTATGGGTTTTATGGAAAATCTTGTCCAAGATTTTCGAAACACTGCATAGCTGTGAATGGATACATTATCAGCGTTAGCAACGCAGCAAACGTTTAGGAAACTTCGTAACAATTCTGCCACACCCTGCCCTGCGTTTGGTAACAACTTATAAGCAGCCTCAATCGTGAAACAGATACACAAATTCCTTAAATCAACGGGTTTGTCTTACCTTCCGTAACCATGACAGGAGCAATGAGGAACCGGTCACAACTCTGACAAGTCTGGTGGAATGAGCTTGAAATCTAAAGCTATCTAAAATGGCGAGAAATGATTTTCCAGCCTTGCCGTTTATTATCGACTGTTTCCGAAGACTTTTCCACTAAGATCACCCAACCAAATCATCAAGAGTTCTCCGCAAAATCAATAGATGACAAGGCCAAGCGAGGAATACCGGTAGTCTTAAGCTTATGTTGATTCAAAATGCAAAACAAAACCTGACAATTCTTTTTTGACAATAGCAATTATTATACTCAAATTAAACCAATCTTTACTCGTTACTCGAACTTGAATCAGCCTCAAACTTGACTTGTGCTACGACTGAAACCGTACACTGACACAATTACCGCCGTGCCATGGGTAGTTCGTCGATCGAGTTGACGTTTAAGAGCGGCCCAATTTTACAACTGAATGACTGAACGGGGCAGAGTGGGTGGGGGAGGGGTGAGGGGGAGAATCAACGTCACAGTCCTTACTTTTGCAAGTATGAAAGGCGAACAAACTGGATTCTGGCAAGAAGAAACAAACTTTTCCTGTATTCCAAGCTTGCGGGGGTCAAGCTTTGTTTTGCTTCATGCAGGCCAGGAGAGAGTCTACTAGCTCTCGCTCTTTCTTGTAACCGTTTCGGGCGGAGAGTCAGTAACATATACGTAGCTTTCTAAATCCCGCAACCCTATCAGTTTGTTACTGATCGTCCCAAACTGAGCCTGAACTGAAGAAATAGGAGACCTGTACGTAACTATTCCAAACTTTCGTCTCTTGTATTTGCCTTAACAGTCAAGTTACGTGAAAGGTTTGACGTTTAGATACATATCTGGTATGCACGGCTAGTCATATCAGGGCAATGTCAACACGAATTGCATGACAATCAAAACACTTAAACTGTGAACTGGTTAGAAAGTCGTACGGGCGTGATCACTATTGTCAGACTTGTTCAGATTTTCATACATTCTATTTTTATTTTGATCCTAAAACAAAAACATTTACATACCAACCAGCGTTTCTTAACCTGATTGTTTGATGTTGTCTGTCCCAGAAGACTCCAGAAATGCCAAACGTGATAAAATGATGAAACAATTGAATACACTTGTCTCCTGAGGAAAGAGCCTTTGTTGTGCAAAGTACTTCGTGCAGGGGTCAGTACAACACTCATATCCAATTACTCCAGAATAAATTAGAGTATGTAACCAGCTTTAAAGTTATACCTTTTCGCTGTAGCAAAACTGTTTATCTCGCTTTCAAAACAAACCGGATATAAAACGGCACCGCACAAATGTCGACCCCATCTCTCTCTCTCTCTCCGCGCCGCGGTCATCTGAAAGATCTTTCAAACAAGGATGACATCTGTCAATTGTTTGAAAAACAAAGCTGTTTCAGTTGAGTGACCACTGCTGAGCGTAAACAGACGTGACACATCATATTGCTACTGAATTTGAAATTTTTATCCGTTGCGATGCGCGAATACCGTGCCGAGCGATCGGTTGTCCTGGTTTTACGTCTTGTTGAATTACTCGGTTATCTTGAGCCCGCATGAATTAAATCGAATTACTTTCCACAGCAATAGGATGGAAAATGTCCGTAAAAGTAAGGAAACGGCCGAAGATTTATTCTTCAAGTTTATGGACGCTCAAGACTGTCCAGAAATAACGAGCACCTTTCGAGAACTTGTCAAGCTTCTTGGAATCAAAGCGGACAATCCGCGCGAGTTTTATTCGCAGCTTAAAGGAAAACTTCAATCGTGGAGGTGCAAATCACTGTGGGAACTGTTAGACAGTCGGGCTAATCAGAAGGAGTATGGAAAAGGAAAAATATGCGAAGACACTCATGTGTTAGTCATCGGCGCAGGTCCTATCGGCTTGAGAACTGCGATTGAAGTCGCCTTGCTTGGAGCAAAAGTTGTGATTGTGGAGAAGAGGGAATCTTTTGTACGAAATAATGTCCTTCATTTGTGGCCTTTCCTACTCACGGATTTCCGTTCACTCGGTGCAAAGAAATTCTACGGAAAATTCTGTTCAGGTTCCATCGATCACATCAGTAAGTATAATTACAATATCTCTTGTTTGTGGATAATGGTTTTAGTAATTTACGTATATTTTCACTGAGAACTTGAGGTTTGTAAAATATGATTTATTTATTGGAGAAGTAATAAGCGCGCATATGTTTTAACAACTGAACCTCTACGTATCTGCTAATTGAAATATCGTTCGTCATAGCTATTTAATAACAATATAATATCGGTATTTCCTTTCGCCATTCCTAATTCTGACTTAACAGTAACAGGAAATCTGTCAAGTGTGTAGAAACATACAACGGTTTAATATAACGTCTACATACAATTGTTTTCCGAAGATCTGGCTTGCTTATTGTCATAACTGCGGACCAAATATATGTTTTCTTGATTGTTAAGAAACAATTCGATTGCTTGGAACGGATGATCGCATCAAAACAACGTTGCGCTCAACCACTGCATGGATTTATTAATGAACAGGCCGGCTGAATTTTTTTCTGCAACGAAATCTTGTCACTCCAATGTCCCAGAAAGCTAAAATGATCGCGCAGTCCTTGTTGTTCGTAGCGACACGATAAGCCCTCGTAATCCTCAACAACATCATTTACTTTGTGAATTTGTTGAGAGTTGTTTATCAAATCGCCGTAGACTGGGAGATAATTTTCAAGGGGATTTTTAGTAAAGGAGATCAGATTTTTGAAACGCAAGCGTATTTAATATTAGTGATGACATTTTGTGGGGATTTTAAAATTTGCGCGCGTGGATACACGCGGCTGACAAGCTTGGACAGGATTTTACGTGAGCATCAAGCCTTATCATACATTCAAATTCCCTACCCAATATATTTGCCTGAGAAAGCTGTATAAATAATAATCGTGACTTTTATTGATATTTTATTAAAAACTTGTTTCCTCATCATGTAACCACTGTTTTGTACTAAAAATGTTGGTCTGAACATGATCTATCTGCCCTCGAGCTATTGAACAGAAATCCTGGCGGTCGGAAATAGTTTCTTTCTCTCTTTCTATTTTTGTTATTGATAATGTATATATCAAGATATTTTACATTTTTCGGTATCTAGAGGTTAGTTTCAGCCACGGCAACTTTCAAAGCAGTCTTAGCGGAAGCGTACAAAAAAAAAATGAAACATTTGGCGTGACCGAGTTCTTCTCTGCTTCCTAGTGGTCGTTTGTAACAATCCGAGATAAACATCTCGCATTCAGCTCTAAATTCAACAAGATTAATTGAACCAATTTTTGTGACTGAAAAAAGAAAATACAGCAAGAGAAGCAGCTTCTGAATATGATTTAGACGTTTACTGCAGGTGTTTGAAGTTCACTGGACATCAAAGCAATATATGCATTTTATTGGCGATTTGTTTATTTTTCGCCTCTTTATTTTGACTGTCTGTTATTTCTGTTTAACCAAAATAATTATATTTTTTTAATTACATTACCGTTTTTGTGAAATATTGAAGTCTGATCAACCCCAGGTGTTAAAAAAAAAATTTATTCCTGCTTTATTTATCACGTTTTTATTTTTCTCAGTATATCAATAGAATGATAAAGGAAATATTTCAAATTTGTCCTTTCTCGTCCTTCCAGCTTTGGCGCATTAATATATAATTGAGCTTTGGGCATGTCTTATTTGCATGTCAGAACTTTAATTAGCGGCCGTTCAGTTTAAATCGTTTGTTTAACAAATTTCTGGGTTGTGCAATCATACGATTTTTTCTGTTTTTCGTTCCCAGCAAGGAATATAGTCTGGTGACCTATGAGTGAGCTCTCTCCGCTAGCTTGTTCGCAGGCTAGGAAGTTGCATCCGTCCGTTCAAATTTGATTTCTCGCCGATAAACTTTGCGTGACGTTTGCAAGTTGCTCACCCCACGAACTCGCGAATTCTTGTTAATTACCACACGTCTTTTTGCAAAAACGAATCGCAAATAAATCGTAATTACTAAAATGTACCCTATTTTTTTGTTCTTTATCATGGCTCTGGACAGAGTTCGAGGTCTCTAGTTAAGTATCAAAACAATATTACGGTTTAAGCTTTGGAAGAAGTTGAGAAAACAAGCGATATGAAAATAGCGTCGTTGACCTGAATTGTAGTTTTGTATTGTATTCTATGACTCAGTATCAGCATGGCTTCTACAGATTAGTATGTACAACATTTAGTAACATTCCAAAGCATTAGAGGAGGATTCCAGAGCAGATAAATCAGACCTCTCAATCCTGTTCAATTTAGGGCAATTTCATTATCCCTTTGAAGTTCTATTCGTCAACGGCAGCATGTTGATACTTCCCCGGATACTTGTAACTGTAAAAATAAATTTCTTATGGTCTCCATTTAAAACGTGTAAGAGGAATGTCTATATTGAGTCACCGACCAAAAGCTGTGTGACTTGCAAAACACGTAGGTTCTAAACTACTAATAATATTAGACGCATTAGTTTTGATAATTAGCCTGTTCCTTACTGTATCGAAAGTCGCAGGAAGGAACTTGTTCACTTGGTAAGATTTCCGCATTCTTTTACCAACTCAGCATTAATTATTACGTCTGCAAAGAACTTGTCCTATGAATTAAAGACCTCTAGAGCATGTTCGAACGCTTGCAACGTCTAGGGGAGTTTTCTTATATTTTATTTTATACAAAATGGATCAGTGACATACGTTTATCCACATTAAGATATCGACGTAAACTGAAATTCAAAATTACTACTAACACTCTCATCGCTGGCTGAAACTTTCGGGTTTGGCGAATTCATGTCCTTAACGTAACGCAATGAATATTCACAGAGCTGATATATTATTAGCCGGGTGTCCATAAGTGTTTAATGTTCATTTTTCAGGTCAATATTGGTTGTTCATTTCCCTCACACCAGTATTTATCTCTCTTGCATAGCCAGAAAATCGAAATATTCAATAATCGGTTACAATTTCATGCCAATATTCTCCATTTATCTGATTTTTCAATATTCATTACTCGACTTCAGCTTTCAAATATACGTGACCATTGAAAGTGCGGAGGAGTTGTATCCAAAGGGAGAGATGATGCAATCAACTCCTCCATCAGTACATAACAAAAGTTAAGCGACTAAAAGATCAGTAAACAGCGTACCGTATTTACTTGAAAAATCGCCAGCTGCTTTTTAAACTTTTCGACTTTGATGAGTCGCTTATTGAAAGGCGATGCCTGTTAAAAACACGTTTCAAACTTTTGAATAAATCATAGCAACCCTTATTTCTATTTTAAAACGGTAGCAACAACAAAGTGTCATTATGTTTTCCGTGTTAGAGTCAGTAGCTGCACAGACATATGCTTCTAAAAGCAAGCGTCGCTTCAGGAATCACGGACTTTGAATATTAGCGCTGGGTTGTTGTTCAGGGTGCAACGCTTATAATGTTTTTGCTGTCATGTGCGGCGCTCATTTGAGGCGGCGCTTAGTCGAGGCGGCGCATTTTCGAGTAAAAACTTCAATAAACCAATTTCGTATTCTCGGTATTGGACTGGGACTAGCTTGTAACCGAGGCTAATGTGAGGAGTCTTTTCAAATGCAAATGAAATTAAGAAGCAATCCACCAGAAGTTCGAGTAAAAAGTCGACAAAAACTTTGTACCGAGGTTATTTACATTGTATTGCAAACTTCTGTGGAACGTCAGTTTAAATATCTTCTCAAAAGAAGTCATTCTAACAACACCAAATGTCAAAAAAAAATTTGAAGATTATATGAAACACTTGAAAGTACTGGTAAAATGAAACTGATGATGAAATTTTACCTGTGATTGCACAATTTCTCTGAACTTTGAAATTTATTTTCTCGAGTTCCCATGGGAAATAAAATTGTTTTTGGTGTTGTTTTAGGCAACTATTTATACCTTTAGCTTTTAGAAAATGCTAAAAGAACTATACTGTGCTTAAGTTATTCTGGTACAAGGTTTTTGTTCATTAAAAACTGAACTTGCTCATTTTCCTGTCGGATTTCGTCTTAATCTTTTTTTAATGATATTCCCACACACGAGTCTTCATCGCAAGCTAGTTACAGTCCGATATCGAGAATACGAAAATAGTCTCAAGCAGCATTTGACTTTTTTTCAGGTATTCGCCGGCTCCAAGGGATTCTTCTCAAGGCTGCGCTCATTTTTGGCGCGAAACTGTACACTGGCGTCATGTTTGATCACGTGATAGAACCAAACTCACTGGAAGATGGATGGAAGTGCAAAGTGTCTCCCGAGTCCCACCCCGTCAGTAAATACGAATTTGATGTTCTTATTGGAGCTGATGGGAAGAAGAACGTTATTCCTGGTTTTCAACAGATTGAAATGAGAGGTTAGTGAAGAATTGAATTTAGTCATGTTATTTTGTGAGAGAAAATGGCGCTAGTGGAAAATAAGACCGAGGGACTGATTATTTTTGTTTTGATTTTTTACTTAGGTACACTCGCTATTGGCATAACGGCAAACTTCGTCAATCACTGCACAGAAGAAGAAGCAAACGTTGAGGAAATTAGCGGCATTGCGTATCAATTTAATCCACAGTTTTTTGATCTGCTGTTAGAAGAAAAAGGAATTAAGCTTGAAAATATTGTTTACTACAAAGATGAAACACACTACTTTGTTATGACAGCTGGGAAAGCCAGCTTACTCAAAAGAGGAGCTCTTAAACAGGTATTGTAATCACCAAAATTTGTGTCATGTGTTTGTAGTTGAATAAAACAAGCTGGTTAGCTCTGCACAATGCAAAAGTTTATTCAGATTGCAATGTCAGTGATGTCAGTAACGTAGAACGCACTTTTTACTGATTACGCACGTACCGAAGAGAAAGTTTCGATACGAGCCGCTAGCGGGGTTTTGGGGCAATGCCTCCCTCCAGGAAATTTTTAAGTTTAGTGGTTCGGGAATGGCATTTCCCACGTTTTTGAGGAACAGTTCACTAAATGTGGGGGCACACCTTGTCGGAGTTAAGTTTTCATGTATTTCACACGAGGCAAGTCGGAATTAAACTCACATGCAGTCGTTTCTGCAACAGGAATGTTTCATTTACTTATCCATCTGGGAAAGATACTACTAATACTGTAAAAAGCACGCATTTATGGCATTCTCCATTTCCTTAGCTTGCTAGTCTGCTTTATCGTCAGCAGAAACAAGGCAAAGACAAACAAACAAACAAACAAACAAACAAACAAGCAAGCAAACACGCAACGCCAATGTGTTTACGAACATCTACTTTATGCCAAGAAATCATTATTGATAAAATTGCAATTTCTTTGTGTTGTTTCACGCAGGACTTGAGCCCTCCAGTCAAGCTTCTTGCTCCAAGTAACATTGACCAATCTAAACTACTGGAATACGTAACAGACGTGGTGAAGTATGCTACAAAAGGTACACTGAAGAATCTCGAGCTCAAGATTGTAGGCAATAATCAACCAGACATTGCTGCGTTTGATTTCACGTCGATCAAGAAAGCTGAACATGCTGCAAGGATCATTGAAAGGAAAGGAAGCAGACTTTTGGTGGGTCTGGTGGGAGACAGTTTGTTGGAGGTCAGTATCAAATTAAAATGTAATTTCTAGAATTCTTCTGCAAGTAAAATTTGTTTTTAATATCAGTCGTGGTTTCCTTCTGGAAAGCCTGTCATTTAAAAAGGATACCATTTTTTTGACGTATCATTAAATTTTTTTATTGGTAAGGCAACTGGGGTAATTTTAAGTAAGGTCTTTCCTGCCAGTAATGTTTATTTAATTTTACCCTCAACTAGGTAGAACAGAAAAATTTTCCTTTAAATTGTTCGTAATGCACAGAAGTATCCTAAGAAATATCCTAAGAACGGCAGCAGTTTTTTTCAAATCAGCTCATACATGTCTGTCCCGATTGCACTCAATGATATAAATATATATTTTTTGTTTTTTCTCAGCCTTTTTGGCCAACAGGCTCTGGCTGCGCCCGCGGTGTTTTGAGCGCACTGGATGCGGCATGGACGATTCGCTCATTCGCGCAGGACAAGCCACCGCTTCAGATTCTCAGTGAGAGAGAGAACATCTACCGTCTGCTGTCAGGAACCAGTGCGGAGAATCTTCACAAAGATCACGCTAAATATACTATCAACCCAAGTACCCGGTATCTACACATCACTCACAAGCGGATCCGTGAGGTTTATCACCTGTTTGATACTGATGATCCTGTAAACGCTGACTTTAGCATTGGAAGTCCTCAGACAGAAGTCTTGAACAAAGGTAGGGTAGCCTGATGGCCTGGTGGCTTAGACAACTGGCTTTGTCCAGTGAAAGTTCTGATGTTTTTTTTCTGTCTCATGATCAATCTAGGAAGGTCCGGTGGCAGGGGTTGGGGGTGGGGGTGGGGTGGGTTGACTTTGGTCTGGTTGGCTAGTTCGAACCAAAATTAAGCGCAAAGACTGTCAATCTGTCAGCCCTAGCTTGGTCTGGAAAGTCTTTTACTAGATTAAAACAGATGACATTAGCTCAGCTATGCTCTGTTGAGAGTATCATGGAAAAGCTTATAAAACCGTTTTCCTTTCCCAGCCTCTCGCAGAAGAAAGATCAGCACCGGAGCGAAGTTTACCTCAAATAAAGGTCGGAAGCGTGGCCGAGCAAGTTCTCATCTTGCTGCAGACGTTGCGGGAAATAGAATACGATCAACGTCAGGATCTAGCATGGAAAACCTGGTGTCACACAAGCCACTTTCCTCAACACGCTCCGTTCCGCTTGACAGCAAAGTTCGTGCGCATACGTTAAGTTCGGTTGGAAGCGACGACGAAGTGTTCCAATCGAAAACAAGGCGGGTAAGAATCAAACCTTCAGCAGGACGGAGGAGAAGCTCCACAATAGATAGTTCAGGCGACGAGCTCAATGATAAAAGAAGAAAGACAACAACAAGGAAAAGTCTATCGAAAGAGAATTCGGAGGGTGTGAAGGAAAATACACGTCGTAAGAAAGGAGGATTTTTTGGGTTTGGGAAAGGGAAAGCAAAACATAAGACTCCGGTGGACTCGGATTATCACTCTGATAAGGATAATAAATTGTTTAAAGGGAAACATGGAGATGAACACCAACAAATGGAGAGAAAGTTTGGAAACGGAGTCACTCTGAAGAGTGTTCAACCAAGAGAGGACGAAAAGAAGAACTTCGCACGAGAAGACTCGGAGAGAAGGCGTCCCGCGGGTTCATTTTCCCGAGAGCAATACACAAGACGGTCAGCTCGGGACATCATTAGGGAAATGGAGGCAAGATCAAAAGGTGAGACTGGTACAATTGAAAATACAGGCAATGGGAAGGTTACAGGGAACGCGTTTGACGCAAATGTCCAGGAAAATCACGAAAACGATCAAAATAGCAAAGAAGGAGAGAAAAATGGAAAGCATAAAGCTGACAATAGGAAAGTGGAAGAAAAGGCAAAGATTAAGAAAGAAGACGAGAAAAAGAAGCACAAGGAGGAAGAAAAGAAAAGAAAGGAAGGAGAACGAAAGAAAAAAGATGAAGAGAAAAGAAAACATGATGAGGAGAAGAAACGAAAAGAAGAAGAGGAAAAAAGAAGAAAGAAAAAAGATGACGAGATAAAGAAGAGAGAACAAGCAAACAATCTGCACAACAAGAGAGCAACCGAATCCAAACCACAAACTACACCGCCCAACAAGAAATCAAAGAAACAAAGCTTGCTTGATGAAATTGCTGCGTAAGTATTTATTGTAAACGACATGAAATGTACAGTAAATGCGTATCTACTTGCCCTAGACATCGATACTGTTAATCAATGTCCTTCATTCCAAAATTTCTTGTTATTGCGAGAAATAATATTATATTTACTTCCTCGGGTGATTCTGCGGCTATTCCAGTAGGGTATAGGTCGCCATATTTACCTCTAAAGCACATATTTATCTTCTTTGTTCTTTGGTTTTGTCAACAGGTTATCACCCTCAGCTAGGCGTGCTATGCCAGTTCTGTCAACACTGAGCCCTGAATTTGACAAAGAAAACGAAAAGCTACAAGAGCACACAGTGACGTCAGCAGTTCGAGACGCTGCCATGTTGTTAATGGCAACGCCGCTTTTGGTGGATGGACTGATAGCCAAAAATGGAATGGACCGGAAGGGATCATGGGTAAGAATTGCTAGTTAAATTTAGAACTAAATAATTGCCAATTTCGGTTATAAAATTAAATTCGATCCCGGCTTGGAGTCTTATTGGAATAAAGCCGCAAAAGAGTGTGTTCATTTACCCCACAACCACCTGCGAATTTTACTTAGTTTTAATGGCAGGCGGCCAAAGCTCCAGCTGTGATCATCTTGTGTAATAGCAGTCATGGCGAAAATGTAAGAGAACTGTCATAATGTACACACTATTATAATATAAATTTATCATAAATTTGTATTTTAATAACATTTTTTATTATTTAGCTCGACGATATTAGCTTTATAGTTGCTCTCAAATTCGAGTCTAAATAAAGTTTGTCTATGTCTATAACTTGCACAGTGTATCGCTTGTTGCCTNAAAGTACTGGTAAAATGAAACTGATGATGAAATTTTACCTGTGATTGCACAATTTCTCTGAACTTTGAAATTTATTTTCTCGAGTTCCCATGGGAAATAAAATTGTTTTTGGTGTTGTTTTAGGCAACTATTTATACCTTTAGCTTTTAGAAAATGCTAAAAGAACTATACTGTGCTTAAGTTATTCTGGTACAAGGTTTTTGTTCATTAAAAACTGAACTTGCTCATTTTCCTGTCGGATTTCGTCTTAATCTTTTTTTAATGATATTCCCACACACGAGTCTTCATCGCAAGCTAGTTACAGTCCGATATCGAGAATACGAAAATAGTCTCAAGCAGCATTTGACTTTTTTTCAGGTATTCGCCGGCTCCAAGGGATTCTTCTCAAGGCTGCGCTCATTTTTGGCGCGAAACTGTACACTGGCGTCATGTTTGATCACGTGATAGAACCAAACTCACTGGAAGATGGATGGAAGTGCAAAGTGTCTCCCGAGTCCCACCCCGTCAGTAAATACGAATTTGATGTTCTTATTGGAGCTGATGGGAAGAAGAACGTTATTCCTGGTTTTCAACAGATTGAAATGAGAGGTTAGTGAAGAATTGAATTTAGTCATGTTATTTTCTGAGAGAAAATGGCGCTAGTGGAAAATAAGACCGAGGGACTGATTATTTTTGTTTTGATTTTTTACTTAGGTACACTCGCTATTGGCATAACGGCAAACTTCGTCAATCACTGCACAGAAGAAGAAGCAAACGTTGAGGAAATTAGCGGCATTGCGTATCAATTTAATCCACAGTTTTTTGATCTGCTGTTAGAAGAAAAAGGAATTAAGCTTGAAAATATTGTTTACTACAAAGATGAAACACACTACTTTGTTATGACAGCTGGGAAAGCCAGCTTACTCAAAAGAGGAGCTCTTAAACAGGTATTGTAATCACCAAAATTTGTGTCATGTGTTTGTAGTTGAATAAAACAAGCTGGTTAGCTCTGCACAATGCAAAAGTTTATTCAGATTGCAATGTCAGTGATGTCAGTAACGTAGAACGCACTTTTTACTGATTACGCACGTACCGAAGAGAAAGTTTCGATACGAGCCGCTAGCGGGGTTTTGGGGCAATGCCTCCCTCCAGGAAATTTTTAAGTTTAGTGGTTCGGGAATGGCATTTCCCACGTTTTTGAGGAACAGTTCACTAAATGTGGGGGCACACCTTGTCGGAGTTAAGTTTTCATGTATTTCACACGAGGCAAGTCGGAATTAAACTCACATGCAGTCGTTTCTGCAACAGGAATGTTTCACTTACTTATCCATCTGGGAAAGATACTACTAATACTGTAAAAAGCACGCATTTATGGCATTCTCCATTTCCTTAGCTTGCTAGTCTGCTTTATCGTCAGCAGAAACAAGGCAAAGACAAACAAACAAACAAACAAACAAACAAACAAGCAAGCAAACACGCAACGCCAATGTGTTTACGAACATCTACTTTATGCCAAGAAATCATTATTGATAAAATTGCAATTTCTTTGTGTTGTTTCACGCAGGACTTGAGCCCTCCAGTCAAGCTTCTTGCTCCAAGTAACATTGACCAATCTAAACTACTGGAATACGTAACAGACGTGGTGAAGTATGCTACAAAAGGTACACTGAAGAATCTCGAGCTCAAGATTGTAGGCAATAATCAACCAGACATTGCTGCGTTTGATTTCACGTCGATCAAGAAAGCTGAACATGCTGCAAGGATCATTGAAAGGAAAGGAAGCAGACTTTTGGTGGGTCTGGTGGGAGACAGTTTGTTGGAGGTCAGTATCAAATTAAAATGTAATTTCTAGAATTCTTCTGCAAGTAAAATTTGTTTTTAATATCAGTCGTGGTTTCCTTCTGGAAAGCCTGTCATTTAAAAAGGATACCATTTTTTTGACGTATCATTAAATTTTTTTATTGGTAAGGCAACTGGGGTAATTTTAAGTAAGGTCTTTCCTGCCAGTAATGTTTATTTAATTTTACCCTCAACTAGGTAGAACAGAAAAATTTTCCTTTAAATTGTTCGTAATGCACAGAAGTATCCTAAGAAATATCCTAAGAACGGCAGCAGTTTTTTTCAAATCAGCTCATACATGTCTGTCCCGATTGCACTCAATGATATAAATATATATTTTTTGTTTTTTCTCAGCCTTTTTGGCCAACAGGCTCTGGCTGCGCCCGCGGTGTTTTGAGCGCACTGGATGCGGCATGGACGATTCGCTCATTCGCGCAGGACAAGCCACCGCTTCAGATTCTCAGTGAGAGAGAGAACATCTACCGTCTGCTGTCAGGAACCAGTGCGGAGAATCTTCACAAAGATCACGCTAAATATACTATCAACCCAAGTACCCGGTATCTACACATCACTCACAAGCGGATCCGTGAGGTTTATCACCTGTTTGATACTGATGATCCTGTAAACGCTGACTTTAGCATTGGAAGTCCTCAGACAGAAGTCTTGAACAAAGGTAGGGTAGCCTGATGGCCTGGTGGCTTAGACAACTGGCTTTGTCCAGTGAAAGTTCTGATGTTTTTTTTCTGTCTCATGATCAATCTAGGAAGGTCCGGTGGCAGGGGTTGGGGGTGGGGGTGGGGTGGGTTGACTTTGGTCTGGTTGGCTAGTTCGAACCAAAATTAAGCGCAAAGACTGTCAATCTGTCAGCCCTAGCTTGGTCTGGAAAGTCTTTTACTAGATTAAAACAGATGACATTAGCTCAGCTATGCTCTGTTGAGAGTATCATGGAAAAGCTTATAAAACCGTTTTCCTTTCCCAGCCTCTCGCAGAAGAAAGATCAGCACCGGAGCGAAGTTTACCTCAAATAAAGGTCGGAAGCGTGGCCGAGCAAGTTCTCATCTTGCTGCAGACGTTGCGGGAAATAGAATACGATCAACGTCAGGATCTAGCATGGAAAACCTGGTGTCACACAAGCCACTTTCCTCAACACGCTCCGTTCCGCTTGACAGCAAAGTTCGTGCGCATACGTTAAGTTCGGTTGGAAGCGACGACGAAGTGTTCCAATCGAAAACAAGGCGGGTAAGAATCAAACCTTCAGCAGGACGGAGGAGAAGCTCCACAATAGATAGTTCAGGCGACGAGCTCAATGATAAAAGAAGAAAGACAACAACAAGGAAAAGTCTATCGAAAGAGAATTCGGAGGGTGTGAAGGAAAATACACGTCGTAAGAAAGGAGGATTTTTTGGGTTTGGGAAAGGGAAAGCAAAACATAAGACTCCGGTGGACTCGGATTATCACTCTGATAAGGATAATAAATTGTTTAAAGGGAAACATGGAGATGAACACCAACAAATGGAGAGAAAGTTTGGAAACGGAGTCACTCTGAAGAGTGTTCAACCAAGAGAGGACGAAAAGAAGAACTTCGCACGAGAAGACTCGGAGAGAAGGCGTCCCGCGGGTTCATTTTCCCGAGAGCAATACACAAGACGGTCAGCTCGGGACATCATTAGGGAAATGGAGGCAAGATCAAAAGGTGAGACTGGTACAATTGAAAATACAGGCAATGGGAAGGTTACAGGGAACGCGTTTGACGCAAATGTCCAGGAAAATCACGAAAACGATCAAAATAGCAAAGAAGGAGAGAAAAATGGAAAGCATAAAGCTGACAATAGGAAAGTGGAAGAAAAGGCAAAGATTAAGAAAGAAGACGAGAAAAAGAAGCACAAGGAGGAAGAAAAGAAAAGAAAGGAAGGAGAACGAAAGAAAAAAGATGAAGAGAAAAGAAAACATGATGAGGAGAAGAAACGAAAAGAAGAAGAGGAAAAAAGAAGAAAGAAAAAAGATGACGAGATAAAGAAGAGAGAACAAGCAAACAATCTGCACAACAAGAGAGCAACCGAATCCAAACCACAAACTACACCGCCCAACAAGAAATCAAAGAAACAAAGCTTGCTTGATGAAATTGCTGCGTAAGTATTTATTGTAAACGACATGAAATGTACAGTAAATGCGTATCTACTTGCCCTAGACATCGATACTGTTAATCAATGTCCTTCATTCCAAAATTTCTTGTCATTGCGAGAAATAATATTATATTTACTTCCTCGGGTGATTCTGCGGCTATTCCAGTAGGGTATAGGTCGCCATATTTACCTCTAAAGCACATATTTATCTTCTTTGTTCTTTGGTTTTGTCAACAGGTTATCACCTTCAGCTAGGCGTGCTATGCCAGTTCTGTCAACACTGAGCCCTGAATTTGACAAAGAAAACGAAAAGCTACAAGAGCACACAGTGACGTCAGCAGTTCGAGACGCTGCCATGTTGTTAATGGCAACGCCGCTTTTGGTGGATGGACTGATAGCCAAAAATGGAATGGACCGGAAGGGATCATGGGTAAGAATTGCTAGTTAAATTTAGAACTAAATAATTGCCAATTTCGGTTATAAAATTAAATTCGATCCCGGCTTGGAGTCTTATTGGAATAAAGCCGCAAAAGAGTGTGTTCATTTACCCCACAACCACCTGCGAATTTTACTTAGTTTTAATGGCAGGCGGCCAAAGCTCCAGCTGTGATCATCTTGTGTAATAGCAGTCATGGCGAAAATGTAAGAGAACTGTCATAATGTACACACTATTATAATATAAATTTATCATAAATTTGTATTTTAATAACATTTTTTATTATTTAGCTCGACGATATTAGCTTTATAGTTGCTCTCAAATTCGAGTCTAAATAAAGTTTGTCTATGTCTATAACTTGCACAGTGTATCGCTTGTTGCCTCACCGCTTACTTTGTTAAAACGAGGCCATTTTAGCGAGTTATCGCTTATTAGGTTTGAGAAACCTAGGAAGCGATAACTCGCTAAAATCGCTTCAAATCCGCAGCAGAATAAGCGAACAGACAAAAGGCAATGCACTGTGGATGTCAGATAATGCGTTTTTATGAAGAGCTTTCTAGTATTTGTATCTCCAAAAGCCGAGCATAAATATTCCCATACAAAGCGTTATAATTTCGCCATGACCGCTATTATGTAAGGTGATCTACACANAAAGTACTGGTAAAATGAAACTGATGATGAAATTTTACCTGTGATTGCACAATTTCTCTGAACTTTGAAATTTATTTTCTCGAGTTCCCATGGGAAATAAAATTGTTTTTGGTGTTGTTTTAGGCAACTATTTATACCTTTAGCTTTTAGAAAATGCTAAAAGAACTATACTGTGCTTAAGTTATTCTGGTACAAGGTTTTTGTTCATTAAAAACTGAACTTGCTCATTTTCCTGTCGGATTTCGTCTTAATCTTTTTTTAATGATATTCCCACACACGAGTCTTCATCGCAAGCTAGTTACAGTCCGATATCGAGAATACGAAAATAGTCTCAAGCAGCATTTGACTTTTTTTCAGGTATTCGCCGGCTCCAAGGGATTCTTCTCAAGGCTGCGCTCATTTTTGGCGCGAAACTGTACACTGGCGTCATGTTTGATCACGTGATAGAACCAAACTCACTGGAAGATGGATGGAAGTGCAAAGTGTCTCCCGAGTCCCACCCCGTCAGTAAATACGAATTTGATGTTCTTATTGGAGCTGATGGGAAGAAGAACGTTATTCCTGGTTTTCAACAGATTGAAATGAGAGGTTAGTGAAGAATTGAATTTAGTCATGTTATTTTCTGAGAGAAAATGGCGCTAGTGGAAAATAAGACCGAGGGACTGATTATTTTTGTTTTGATTTTTTACTTAGGTACACTCGCTATTGGCATAACGGCAAACTTCGTCAATCACTGCACAGAAGAAGAAGCAAACGTTGAGGAAATTAGCGGCATTGCGTATCAATTTAATCCACAGTTTTTTGATCTGCTGTTAGAAGAAAAAGGAATTAAGCTTGAAAATATTGTTTACTACAAAGATGAAACACACTACTTTGTTATGACAGCTGGGAAAGCCAGCTTACTCAAAAGAGGAGCTCTTAAACAGGTATTGTAATCACCAAAATTTGTGTCATGTGTTTGTAGTTGAATAAAACAAGCTGGTTAGCTCTGCACAATGCAAAAGTTTATTCAGATTGCAATGTCAGTGATGTCAGTAACGTAGAACGCACTTTTTACTGATTACGCACGTACCGAAGAGAAAGTTTCGATACGAGCCGCTAGCGGGGTTTTGGGGCAATGCCTCCCTCCAGGAAATTTTTAAGTTTAGTGGTTCGGGAATGGCATTTCCCACGTTTTTGAGGAACAGTTCACTAAATGTGGGGGCACACCTTGTCGGAGTTAAGTTTTCATGTATTTCACACGAGGCAAGTCGGAATTAAACTCACATGCAGTCGTTTCTGCAACAGGAATGTTTCACTTACTTATCCATCTGGGAAAGATACTACTAATACTGTAAAAAGCACGCATTTATGGCATTCTCCATTTCCTTAGCTTGCTAGTCTGCTTTATCGTCAGCAGAAACAAGGCAAAGACAAACAAACAAACAAACAAACAAACAAACAAGCAAGCAAACACGCAACGCCAATGTGTTTACGAACATCTACTTTATGCCAAGAAATCATTATTGATAAAATTGCAATTTCTTTGTGTTGTTTCACGCAGGACTTGAGCCCTCCAGTCAAGCTTCTTGCTCCAAGTAACATTGACCAATCTAAACTACTGGAATATGTAACAGACGTGGTGAAGTATGCTACAAAAGGTACACTGAAGAATCTCGAGCTCAAGATTGTAGGCAATAATCAACCAGACATTGCTGCGTTTGATTTCACGTCGATCAAGAAAGCTGAACATGCTGCAAGGATCATTGAAAGGAAAGGAAGCAGACTTTTGGTGGGTCTGGTGGGAGACAGTTTGTTGGAGGTCAGTATCAAATTAAAATGTAATTTCTAGAATTCTTCTGCAAGTAAAATTTGTTTTTAATATCAGTCGTGGTTTCCTTCTGGAAAGCCTGTCATTTAAAAAGGATACCATTTTTTTGACGTATCATTAAATTTTTTTATTGGTAAGGCAACTGGGGTAATTTTAAGTAAGGTCTTTCCTGCCAGTAATGTTTATTTAATTTTACCCTCAACTAGGTAGAACAGAAAAATTTTCCTTTAAATTGTTCGTAATGCACAGAAGTATCCTAAGAAATATCCTAAGAACGGCAGCAGTTTTTTTCAAATCAGCTCATACATGTCTGTCCCGATTGCACTCAATGATATAAATATATATTTTTTGTTTTTTCTCAGCCTTTTTGGCCAACAGGCTCTGGCTGCGCCCGCGGTGTTTTGAGCGCACTGGATGCGGCATGGACGATTCGCTCATTCGCGCAGGACAAGCCACCGCTTCAGATTCTCAGTGAGAGAGAGAACATCTACCGTCTGCTGTCAGGAACCAGTGCGGAGAATCTTCACAAAGATCACGCTAAATATACTATCAACCCAAGTACCCGGTATCTACACATCACTCACAAGCGGATCCGTGAGGTTTATCACCTGTTTGATACTGATGATCCTGTAAACGCTGACTTTAGCATTGGAAGTCCTCAGACAGAAGTCTTGAACAAAGGTAGGGTAGCCTGATGGCCTGGTGGCTTAGACAACTGGCTTTGTCCAGTGAAAGTTCTGATGTTTTTTTTCTGTCTCATGATCAATCTAGGAAGGTCCGGTGGCAGGGGTTGGGGGTGGGGGTGGGGTGGGTTGACTTTGGTCTGGTTGGCTAGTTCGAACCAAAATTAAGCGCAAAGACTGTCAATCTGTCAGCCCTAGCTTGGTCTGGAAAGTCTTTTACTAGATTAAAACAGATGACATTAGCTCAGCTATGCTCTGTTGAGAGTATCATGGAAAAGCTTATAAAACCGTTTTCCTTTCCCAGCCTCTCGCAGAAGAAAGATCAGCACCGGAGCGAAGTTTACCTCAAATAAAGGTCGGAAGCGTGGCCGAGCAAGTTCTCATCTTGCTGCAGACGTTGCGGGAAATAGAATACGATCAACGTCAGGATCTAGCATGGAAAACCTGGTGTCACACAAGCCACTTTCCTCAACACGCTCCGTTCCGCTTGACAGCAAAGTTCGTGCGCATACGTTAAGTTCGGTTGGAAGCGACGACGAAGTGTTCCAATCGAAAACAAGGCGGGTAAGAATCAAACCTTCAGCAGGACGGAGGAGAAGCTCCACAATAGATAGTTCAGGCGACGAGCTCAATGATAAAAGAAGAAAGACAACAACAAGGAAAAGTCTATCGAAAGAGAATTCGGAGGGTGTGAAGGAAAATACACGTCGTAAGAAAGGAGGATTTTTTGGGTTTGGGAAAGGGAAAGCAAAACATAAGACTCCGGTGGACTCGGATTATCACTCTGATAAGGATAATAAATTGTTTAAAGGGAAACATGGAGATGAACACCAACAAATGGAGAGAAAGTTTGGAAACGGAGTCACTCTGAAGAGTGTTCAACCAAGAGAGGACGAAAAGAAGAACTTCGCACGAGAAGACTCGGAGAGAAGGCGTCCCGCGGGTTCATTTTCCCGAGAGCAATACACAAGACGGTCAGCTCGGGACATCATTAGGGAAATGGAGGCAAGATCAAAAGGTGAGACTGGTACAATTGAAAATACAGGCAATGGGAAGGTTACAGGGAACGCGTTTGACGCAAATGTCCAGGAAAATCACGAAAACGATCAAAATAGCAAAGAAGGAGAGAAAAATGGAAAGCATAAAGCTGACAATAGGAAAGTGGAAGAAAAGGCAAAGATTAAGAAAGAAGACGAGAAAAAGAAGCACAAGGAGGAAGAAAAGAAAAGAAAGGAAGGAGAACGAAAGAAAAAAGATGAAGAGAAAAGAAAACATGATGAGGAGAAGAAACGAAAAGAAGAAGAGGAAAAAAGAAGAAAGAAAAAAGATGACGAGATAAAGAAGAGAGAACAAGCAAACAATCTGCACAACAAGAGAGCAACCGAATCCAAACCACAAACTACACCGCCCAACAAGAAATCAAAGAAACAAAGCTTGCTTGATGAAATTGCTGCGTAAGTATTTATTGTAAACGACATGAAATGTACAGTAAATGCGTATCTACTTGCCCTAGACATCGATACTGTTAATCAATGTCCTTCATTCCAAAATTTCTTGTCATTGCGAGAAATAATATTATATTTACTTCCTCGGGTGATTCTGCGGCTATTCCAGTAGGGTATAGGTCGCCATATTTACCTCTAAAGCACATATTTATCTTCTTTGTTCTTTGGTTTTGTCAACAGGTTATCACCTTCAGCTAGGCGTGCTATGCCAGTTCTGTCAACACTGAGCCCTGAATTTGACAAAGAAAACGAAAAGCTACAAGAGCACACAGTGACGTCAGCAGTTCGAGACGCTGCCATGTTGTTAATGGCAACGCCGCTTTTGGTGGATGGACTGATAGCCAAAAATGGAATGGACCGGAAGGGATCATGGGTAAGAATTGCTAGTTAAATTTAGAACTAAATAATTGCCAATTTCGGTTATAAAATTAAATTCGATCCCGGCTTGGAGTCTTATTGGAATAAAGCCGCAAAAGAGTGTGTTCATTTACCCCACAACCACCTGCGAATTTTACTTAGTTTTAATGGCAGGCGGCCAAAGCTCCAGCTGTGATCATCTTGTGTAATAGCAGTCATGGCGAAAATGTAAGAGAACTGTCATAATGTACACACTATTATAATATAAATTTATCATAAATTTGTATTTTAATAACATTTTTTATTATTTAGCTCGACGATATTAGCTTTATAGTTGCTCTCAAATTCGAGTCTAAATAAAGTTTGTCTATGTCTATAACTTGCACAGTGTATCGCTTGTTGCCTCACCGCTTACTTTGTTAAAACGAGGCCATTTTAGCGAGTTATCGCTTATTAGGTTTGAGAAACCTAGGAAGCGATAACTCGCTAAAATCGCTTCAAATCCGCAGCAGAATAAGCGAACAGACAAAAGGCAATGCACTGTGGATGTCAGATAATGCGTTTTTATGAAGAGCTTTCTAGTATTTGTATCTCCAAAAGCCGAGCATAAATATTCCCATACAAAGCGTTATAATTTCGCCATGACCGCTATTATGTAAGGTGATCTACACAAGATAATCACCGCTCACAGCTTGAGCTTGGGTTGCCTGTGGTTTTAATATATCGAAAAAAAATTTTCTTTATCTCTCGAGTCTTGCGCAGTACAGCTAAAATCTTTCAGATCTTGTTATTTTAAATTGTAGTGCGATTTTGTCAATGATCTAATTTCATTCCTTTGCCGCTTTCAGCTTGGAAGAAGCAGTGGTCGTGTACGCGATGTTGTGAATCGGTATAACACGTTAAACAACATGAAACCATTGATTGATCAGATGAACGGAGATGCAACGCCACTGAAAAGGCCACGAGATAGGTAATGTTATCATTTAGCTCGACTTGCCTCGGGAACGTGTGTTGAAAAATGTACGTTAATTTTGCTAGCGATGACTGTCAATTTAGTTGATATGTGCTTGTTATTAAATGTTATATAGACATTTTTAAGTGGCTTTCATACCGCACTGGGTAGTAGTAATATTAAAGCGCCATCAAGCATTTGGACGTGTCATAAGTGTTACTACGGTAACAGGTTTGTCCACGAGAGTATGTAACTGCACGATTCCATCAACACCTTTTTCATATTAGGAGTGAGTATTTCAGTGGAAGTAAAAAAGAAATTACAGCATGTGGTTTCCAATAGGCTGGTTTTCACTAGCAGATAAGCATAAGTATAAGCCGGCATACCCAGACCCACCAAGATGGTGATAATTAGCAGCTCTTGTGAGGGATTTTTCTAACAAAAGGTGCTAATTATAAACATCTTAGCTTATGCTTATTCGTTAATGAAAACCAGCCTTTAACTACTTTCTTAACGAGCCGAGTATCCAAACTGTTATTTGTACACAAACTTGCTCTCACTCATGTGCTTGTTTCATAATAGCTATGATCATTTCTGTTCAAGCCAAGCTGTTAACTGTCAGCTGTGTCGAGTTTACACCAAAAAAATAACTGTATTTTGAATAAATAACCCTTCTAACTTTTATTTTTCTCTTTAAAGTGTTGATGGTTCTGTAGAAATGCCGCGGAAAATTGACAATGGTTACGAGAAAAACGACGTAAACGAGAAATTCTCCACCGAGGAAAATAAGGATTCGTTTGAGGTGAAACCAACACCTCCTTCGGAGAAGAAGAAGACTTTGCAGATGAGAAAAGATGAAAAACAGTTACTGCCCTCTCCCTCACTGGAAAGATTAAAGATCAAGGTAACAACTGAAATATCGGTGTCAGGCGATTTTTTTTTTCAAAGTGTATGATTTAGAAGAGTGCTGCATCTAAAAATTACATTATATCACTAAGAAAATCGGCCTTTTTGCAGACCGTTGTCAAACACAGTTCGATGCAGTGTTTTAAACGGAAATATGACGGCAGGATTTCATTTTTTATTGCTTTGCCAAACACTGAGTGGATCTAAAGGAAGAATGTTAAAGTCGATTACAGAGAAGCTGGAATTTAAAAACACCAATTTTTTTCAGTTGACTAATTAATTGTTGGCTTTTTATGTTTAGCTGCAGGATTTCCAAGATGATTCGTCTCGTGTCGACAGTGATGTTTCTTCACCAAACGGACATGTAGTCAAAGACTTCAGTTCTCCCATTTGGCAAAAAACGGTGATTGCAAAAGTTACAGAGTCGAACGACCAGAGTAAAGAAAACGAACCTGCAGAGGTGTCAAAAACAAACGATGAGGTAGGAATGAAAAGAAACTGGTGTACTTTGGAGGTCTTCTCCAAGAGGCTGAAAATTGGTTGCAATATTTGACCAAAGTCACCTTAAAGACAGAACAGCTTACATATATTCGTGTTTTCATTCTTATTAAAGGAAACAGTGGATGGCAAATTAACAGCAAGTACAGTCTACACCCCAGAAAACGAGGAGGCTGTCAGAGACGTTTCTTCTCCAAGTTGGCAAAAAACAGCCATTGCTGTAGTGGCCGAAAACAACGCGGACAATAAAGAACATAACAAGGAGGCCCCCAGTATTTCCCGCAAAAGCGAAGAGGTAGGAACCTGAAGAATGCAAAATAGAAACATTGATGTTTTGCAAGAAATAATGAGACAAGGGAACTGACTCCTTTGACTCCTTTGTAGCGCCTTGGATTCAAAGCCGGATCTTTCAATATTAATATAAGAGTGTTTTGATTGGTCGCTGACAGAGACAAGCCTTACTGTAATGTGATGAACCTTAATCTAAGTCATTTATCGTGTAAGGGTTATCATGGAGGAGTATTTTGAAAACGAAATGGTGTTTCGATAAGATGTATATATTCTAGAGAAGGATAACGTTGAAGACAATTTCATTAGAGATGCTAAAATTGTAACATGGCAGAGTTTGCTTCGTTCAAGGTGACAGAGGAGCGGTCCATTAATACAAAACCTTCTCAGGGAAGGCGTCGATCTTCTGTGTTCCCGTCTGAACTGATGGAGGAAAAATTAACGAATCTACTGAACAGCACATCAGCTCTGAGGGCAAGAAATTCCATCAAATACATGATCAGTATCTTCAAGTAAGGAAGTATTTTTTTGCCTTTACTAGAACTAGAACTAAGGGGTTTGTACATTGATCAGGTCATCAAAGTTGTTGTCGCTAGTGAAACAATTTACCGTTTAATCGCGTCACACGAAGCTAATAATATAACTGAGCGTGATCAGCGTTGGAAAAGATCGTCCTAAAATATTGTTAAGCAGCTGAGATGCAAAATTTCTTTCCTTTGGATCGTCCCAACTGAAAGAAGTTTGCAGGGTTTTTTAGCTTTGACTCAACTTCGTTTCCAGTGTCTCTGTTTTCCTCACCCCCTCTCACAAGGAAAGCAAAGACACTGGGTACGAAGATTGGTGGTTGTTAGAGCCCAGGTATTCATGGAGCTTGTTTTCAATTCCGTAGGATTTGCTTCCGTTTTCAGTTTACTTTGTGATCTATTCATGTTATTGCACTCCCTATATTTCTACAGGCAAATTCAAAAACACCCAAACGAAGAGAAGTACTACAGGATTTTCAAAGGAAGAGCTAAGTTCAGAAAACACGTGTGGACCGTGAGGAATGCCAAGCTATTTATGACTGCAAGCGGGTGGACGGAGGTAAAACTGCAACATTAACTAAAAATTAACTTTTGTAGTGTTTCTGGGACTGTTGTACCTCACAAGTTATAAAAGAAATCTTGCAATTGCTCTCTGCTATAACGCCCTTGCCTAATGGTTGGTGCATAAAGTCTGGGTTTTAAATGGTTACTCAATGTTGTGTTCTTAGGTAAGACACTTTACTTTCAGTCGATTCCTGTTCCATAGTGCCATCAGTGGTTAGTCATAAGGGTCACCCAGTCCTAAGGCAGATTATCTGGCCCTCTTGATTTTTATAGTGATCAAGTTGAGAGAGGCTTATGCAATTTGTAATAAAATCATTTTTGGTTGTCTTTGTTTCAGATTGGGAGCTTTTTCATCTTTCCTTTGTCAAAACAGATTGAAGGACCTTTGTTGCTGTTGAACAAGTACCTAAGGTATGATTTGTATTTTAATATCAAGTATTGACCTGAAAAATTGCATGCTGACATCGACTGGATTTGTTTCACATATAGGATTTAAATAAACGCCCCCGCCCCCACCTGAGTGTTGAATGACTGAAAAAAAAATCATAGTCTCTGTCTGCCTGTTAGACTACAATATGATGCATTTTAATTAAATTAAAGCACCAGCTTACCTTCCGTTTAAGCCTATCATATTTACGAACACCTTGCTACTTAATGAAGCGGTGAAGTGGGCGAACAACACAAGCAACGAATACTTCAAGAAAGGGGGTAGACAGGGAGGGAGTAACGAGGCAAGGGAGGGAGGGAATGTGGGATGGGGGAGGTAGTCAAGGCGGGGTAGTGAGAGAACGTGGGGGCGAGTAGGCGCGGATAGGACAGAGGGTATGGGTGGGAGAGAAATGCGCAAAAAGTCTCATGTGAACAGAATGAAGTCGTTAAAGACTTAAAACTACATTTGACTAAGTCAAAACTAGGAAGAGAACAACTCAGACTAACTAACCAATCAGACATAGCAATATAAATTGTTGATTGTTGCGGATTTCGTGGAGTCAGTTTCGTTGATTGTTTTCACTTTTTTGTAATCAGTTTGGCAGAAGAGAAGAGCCTGGAAGAAAACAGTAGCCCAGCAAAAGCAGAGCAATCAAACCTGCGTAGAGCTAGCTCGACAGATCTGGCGGAGAGAATAATGGAGCTGAAAGAAGCTTTAGTTTCATCGAAAAACAATTCCTTCAAGACTAACAAGTTTAGTAATGGCGTAAAGAACAGAGAATCAAAGATATTACAAAGAGCTGTTTCAATGGATGAAGTTAACATCTTAAGAACAAATGGTGAGACTAGTTCTACTCTGAGATCTACGACTAAGGATAATGAATTTCAGAAACCATGGAGCCATGCGGAAGAGAAGGAGAATGAATCAGGATACTTACGTCGTTCTGTGAGCGAAAACGCGCTTCATATGTCTTCAGAAAATGATGACGAATTGACATCAACTTTCTCGCCATTCACACGGAGGTTCTCTCAGCGTAGCATCAAGGAACAGAAAACATCCTGTGATATAGTTATGGAGAATCCACTGCACCTGGAAACTGTGCCTGTTGATGAGAAGCCCAACCAAGGAAGCATTAGCTCATCAGATGAAGAAGACTTGATAAAGCCAAACAAACTAATTACTGTTCCGCATCAACGCCAATCAGTACGGTCACCTCAGGAAGCCGTGCTAGAGGAAGCAGACCAGCTCTCCTCTGTGCTAGGAAATCTTATACACACTTTAGGCAGCTCTACAGATTCTGAAAGAGAGACAGAGTCTGAGAAAGAAACAAAGAAAGAACCACAAAATGGCAAAGTGAAAGGAAAAGTTCGAGACCAGAACAAGGACAAGGAATTAGAAGCTCTTTGTGCAACGCTAGACTTGTTAATCCATGACAACAGCGACTCTTCCTCCGAGAGTGCCAAGGAAAATATCAAAGACAGGAAACCCTACAGTCCTCGTCAAAGGGAAAATCGAAAAAGTGATTTTAAACCTCCATTGCCCCATACCAGGAAAACAACAGAGCAGTTAGAGAAAAGCAAGAGTTTTGACAATTCATTTGAAAACTCTAAACGGAGTTCCATGGCGAATGGTCGCTCAAATCGTGACAGAATTTCAAAAGCGAAAAGCGTCGATGTAGCACAGGTGACCAGCAATAGAAGGCCAAAAGATAGGACTACGAATATAAGTCAAGACATGTCAAAGAGAAACCAAAAGAACACAACAGACCGGCGAGAAAGCTCTGTTAAAACACGCGCTCAGCGGCAAAAAGAAGCGAAGAACGCCGCTTTTCTGGATAGCACTAATGGACAAGACACTGCACCAAATAAACGGGATTTGGCTGCAAAAGCTCCAAAAAGAACGGACAAACGACCTGCTTTGAAGACCAAAAGCTTTGATATAGAAAGATCAAGAACGCGGCCTCCAGTGGCTAAATCAAAGAACTTGGAACAGCAAGTAAACGGGTTGAAGACGACCAGACTGAGTCAAGTTAAAAAGGGATCTGGTCGATCATCTAGCAGTGAAGACGACAAAAAACCGCCTCGCTTAAGAATAGCTGATCAGACTCGAATGAAAACTAGAAGTCAGAATACTGGAAGAGCAAATAACCGTGCACCTTTATTAAAGAATTCTAAAGGTAAAGGAGAAAGGTCGATCACAGAGCAAGGTAAAGTAAATACCGAGCCATCCAGACCTGTACTTGAAAATGCCATCAAAAAAGGCACTTCAGCACAAACCTTGTCTCTTAAAGAAAATTCTGGTGTGAATAACCAAGAAAATCCAGTCAATATTGACGAGAGTGTTACTTTCACTGAGATGACCTCGTGCGATCGAGTGATTCAAGATCAAGATGATAGTTGGACTATGATAAACATCATACCCGAGCCTGTGGTGGAACATACTGCTGAAGATCATGCTAACTCGGAAGTTGGAAAGGAAAAAAATGAAACACGTCTTGTAGAGGCTGATGAAACTGATCATGTTTTGGTAGAAAACAGTGATGAAATCATTAACTTATCAAAAGAAATTCAGTCTCACTACAGTGAAAATGGCGCACAGAGGAATGCCGTTGATGACGGCACGAAAGAAACAACCAAGGAAGATGGCGTCCCGAAAGGAAAGCAAGGGTTTCCTGGTGATTCTGAGCTTCATGGACATGTGCAAGACGGCGAGGAACCATCAGCTGCCAAACAGGAAGCTTGTCACGAAGAGGTTGATTCTCGGATTACGAAAGATGGCAATCCAGTCATCACAGAAAGCGCCAATTCAGACTACACTCAAACTGATTCACAAAGTCGAAAGATGACGTTATTGGATATTGGCAAACAGCAATCCAAAGAAAGAGTGAAAAGGAAAGAAGAAGTTTCTCTTTCACTTGAAGAAAGAAAAAAACAGATACTGGGCGCTGCTGTATCAAAACCAAAATCTAAACCTGCTGATAAAAGAAGAAGCATCCTGCAAATTAAGAGCCGTAGTGACGGAAATCTAGTTAAGAACAAGAAAGAAGCGTTTGAAAAGCCGAAAGTGGCTCACACAACCTCGGATAGTTCCGTAGCTAAATCATCCAAGCAACGACATTTCCGATTCCGCGGTCTTAGAAAGAAATCTTTTGAGTTATCAAGTGAGCCATTAGAAGTGTTGGCTGAGGATCACGAAGAAAGCGTTGAAGAAACGCCAGCAATATGTACAAATGGAAAATATCCCACCAACCAGGTCAACGGGGTAACAGCTAAGGCGGAACAAATCGACGAAAAAGTTGACAAAGGAAAGAGCCACTCCCCTGTCAAAATAAGTCCATTTCAGTTGCATTTTAAAAAGCGGAAGGGTTCATACGATTTGGAGAAACGAGCAAGCTCAGGTAACTTGGAGTCACCAGAACAGCATTCCGGCGAATGTGACTGAAGAGTTCGGTTGACCTAACTTGACGACTAATCTTTCTAGCGGAGATGTCAGTCTTAGGAAACCTGAAACAGTTTTAAATTTCCCTTAAGTCAGTAGAAGGAACAGAAGAGAATCGTCTAGATTAAATACAGAGCAGTTGAATTGATACTGTTTCCCATAGAAGGACTTGAATCGCATTTGGGGGTGGACCATCTTGACTTTTGAGGGGCCGGTACACGTGGATTGGTGAGTTTGAGAAAATAGCCTGCAAGCATACTTGTACCAAAAAAAAGAAAAAATTTGTGCACGTTCTCCCTTCTCCGAAAAAAAGCTTGTTATACGGAGAAAAAAAAAATTATACATACACACGCACCGAGGAGAAAATTCGTACTGCATGAATGGGTTAAAAAAACTCATGCCTACACTAAATCACCCCATTCCCCCTCAACAGTAAAATGGTCCACCCTTATATTTTTTTTTNTTCGTGTTTTCATTCTTATTAAAGGAAACAGTGGATGGCAAATTAACAGCAAGTACAGTCTACACCCCAGAAAACGAGGAGGCTGTCAGAGACGTTTCTTCTCCAAGTTGGCAAAAAACAGCCATTGCTGTAGTGGCCGAAAACAACGCGGACAATAAAGAACATAACAAGGAGGCCCCCAGTATTTCCCGCAAAAGCGAAGAGGTAGGAACCTGAAGAATGCAAAATAGAAACATTGATGTTTTGCAAGAAATAATGAGACAAGGGAACTGACTCCTTTGACTCCTTTGTAGCGCCTTGGATTCAAAGCCGGATCTTTCAATATTAATATAAGAGTGTTTTGATTGGTCGCTGACAGAGACAAGCCTTACTGTAATGTGATGAACCTTAATCTAAGTCATTTATCGTGTAAGGGTTATCATGGAGGAGTATTTTGAAAACGAAATGGTGTTTCGATAAGATGTATATATTCTAGAGAAGGATAACGTTGAAGACAATTTCATTAGAGATGCTAAAATTGTAACATGGCAGAGTTTGCTTCGTTCAAGGTGACAGAGGAGCGGTCCATTAATACAAAACCTTCTCAGGGAAGGCGTCGATCTTCTGTGTTCCCGTCTGAACTGATGGAGGAAAAATTAACGAATCTACTGAACAGCACATCAGCTCTGAGGGCAAGAAATTCCATCAAATACATGATCAGTATCTTCAAGTAAGGAAGTATTTTTTTGCCTTTACTAGAACTAGAACTAAGGGGTTTGTACATTGATCAGGTCATCAAAGTTGTTGTCGCTAGTGAAACAATTTACCGTTTAATCGCGTCACACGAAGCTAATAATATAACTGAGCGTGATCAGCGTTGGAAAAGATCGTCCTAAAATATTGTTAAGCAGCTGAGATGCAAAATTTCTTTCCTTTGGATCGTCCCAACTGAAAGAAGTTTGCAGGGTTTTTTAGCTTTGACTCAACTTCGTTTCCAGTGTCTCTGTTTTCCTCACCCCCTCTCACAAGGAAAGCAAAGACACTGGGTACGAAGATTGGTGGTTGTTAGAGCCCAGGTATTCATGGAGCTTGTTTTCAATTCCGTAGGATTTGCTTCCGTTTTCAGTTTACTTTGTGATCTATTCATGTTATTGAACTCCCTATATTTCTACAGGCAAATTCAAAAACACCCAAACGAAGAGAAGTACTACAGGATTTTCAAAGGAAGAGCTAAGTTCAGAAAACACGTGTGGACCGTGAGGAATGCCAAGCTATTTATGACTGCAAGCGGGTGGACGGAGGTAAAACTGCAACATTAACTAAAAATTAACTTTTGTAGTGTTTCTGGGACTGTTGTACCTCACAAGTTATAAAAGAAATCTTGCAATTGCTCTCTGCTATAACGCCCTTGCCTAATGGTTGGTGCATAAAGTCTGGGTTTTAAATGGTTACTCAATGTTGTGTTCTTAGGTAAGACACTTTACTTTCAGTCGATTCCTGTTCCATAGTGCCATCAGTGGTTAGTCATAAGGGTCACCCAGTCCTAAGGCAGATTATCTGGCCCTCTTGATTTTTATAGTGATCAAGTTGAGAGAGGCTTATGCAATTTGTAATAAAATCATTTTTGGTTGTCTTTGTTTCAGATTGGGAGCTTTTTCATCTTTCCTTTGTCAAAACAGATTGAAGGACCTTTGTTGCTGTTGAACAAGTACCTAAGGTATGATTTGTATTTTAATATCAAGTATTGACCTGAAAAATTGCATGCTGACATCGACTGGATTTGTTTCACATATAGGATTTAAATAAACGCCCCCGCCCCCACCTGAGTGTTGAATGACTGAAAAAAAAATCATAGTCTCTGTCTGCCTGTTAGACTACAATATGATGCATTTTAATTAAATTAAAGCACCAGCTTACCTTCCGTTTAAGCCTATCATATTTACGAACACCTTGCTACTTAATGAAGCGGTGAAGTGGGCGAACAACACAAGCAACGAATACTTCAAGAAAGGGGGTAGACAGGGAGGGAGTAACGAGGCAAGGGAGGGAGGGAATGTGGGATGGGGGAGGTAGTCAAGGCGGGGTAGTGAGAGAACGTGGGGGCGAGTAGGCGCGGATAGGACAGAGGGTATGGGTGGGAGAGAAATGCGCAAAAAGTCTCATGTGAACAGAATGAAGTCGTTAAAGACTTAAAACTACATTTGACTAAGTCAAAACTAGGAAGAGAACAACTCAGACTAACTAACCAATCAGACATAGCAATATAAATTGTTGATTGTTGCGGATTTCGTGGAGTCAGTTTCGTTGATTGTTTTCACTTTTTTGTAATCAGTTTGGCAGAAGAGAAGAGCCTGGAAGAAAACAGTAGCCCAGCAAAAGCAGAGCAATCAAACCTGCGTAGAGCTAGCTCGACAGATCTGGCGGAGAGAATAATGGAGCTGAAAGAAGCTTTAGTTTCATCGAAAAACAATTCCTTCAAGACTAACAAGTTTAGTAATGGCGTAAAGAACAGAGAATCAAAGATATTACAAAGAGCTGTTTCAATGGATGAAGTTAACATCTTAAGAACAAATGGTGAGACTAGTTCTACTCTGAGATCTACGACTAAGGATAATGAATTTCAGAAACCATGGAGCCATGCGGAAGAGAAGGAGAATGAATCAGGATACTTACGTCGTTCTGTGAGCGAAAACGCGCTTCATATGTCTTCAGAAAATGATGACGAATTGACATCAACTTTCTCGCCATTCACACGGAGGTTCTCTCAGCGTAGCATCAAGGAACAGAAAACATCCTGTGATATAGTTATGGAGAATCCACTGCACCTGGAAACTGTGCCTGTTGATGAGAAGCCCAACCAAGGAAGCATTAGCTCATCAGATGAAGAAGACTTGATAAAGCCAAACAAACTAATTACTGTTCCGCATCAACGCCAATCAGTACGGTCACCTCAGGAAGCCGTGCTAGAGGAAGCAGACCAGCTCTCCTCTGTGCTAGGAAATCTTATACACACTTTAGGCAGCTCTACAGATTCTGAAAGAGAGACAGAGTCTGAGAAAGAAACAAAGAAAGAACCACAAAATGGCAAAGTGAAAGGAAAAGTTCGAGACCAGAACAAGGACAAGGAATTAGAAGCTCTTTGTGCAACGCTAGACTTGTTAATCCATGACAACAGCGACTCTTCCTCCGAGAGTGCCAAGGAAAATATCAAAGACAGGAAACCCTACAGTCCTCGTCAAAGGGAAAATCGAAAAAGTGATTTTAAACCTCCATTGCCCCATACCAGGAAAACAACAGAGCAGTTAGAGAAAAGCAAGAGTTTTGACAATTCATTTGAAAACTCTAAACGGAGTTCCATGGCGAATGGTCGCTCAAATCGTGACAGAATTTCAAAAGCGAAAAGCGTCGATGTAGCACAGGTGACCAGCAATAGAAGGCCAAAAGATAGGACTACGAATATAAGTCAAGACATGTCAAAGAGAAACCAAAAGAACACAACAGACCGGCGAGAAAGCTCTGTTAAAACACGCGCTCAGCGGCAAAAAGAAGCGAAGAACGCCGCTTTTCTGGATAGCACTAATGGACAAGACACTGCACCAAATAAACGGGATTTGGCTGCAAAAGCTCCAAAAAGAACGGACAAACGACCTGCTTTGAAGACCAAAAGCTTTGATATAGAAAGATCAAGAACGCGGCCTCCAGTGGCTAAATCAAAGAACTTGGAACAGCAAGTAAACGGGTTGAAGACGACCAGACTGAGTCAAGTTAAAAAGGGATCTGGTCGATCATCTAGCAGTGAAGACGACAAAAAACCGCCTCGCTTAAGAATAGCTGATCAGACTCGAATGAAAACTAGAAGTCAGAATACTGGAAGAGCAAATAACCGTGCACCTTTATTAAAGAATTCTAAAGGTAAAGGAGAAAGGTCGATCACAGAGCAAGGTAAAGTAAATACCGAGCCATCCAGACCTGTACTTGAAAATGCCATCAAAAAAGGCACTTCAGCACAAACCTTGTCTCTTAAAGAAAATTCTGGTGTGAATAACCAAGAAAATCCAGTCAATATTGACGAGAGTGTTACTTTCACTGAGATGACCTCGTGCGATCGAGTGATTCAAGATCAAGATGATAGTTGGACTATGATAAACATCATACCCGAGCCTGTGGTGGAACATACTGCTGAAGATCATGCTAACTCGGAAGTTGGAAAGGAAAAAAATGAAACACGTCTTGTAGAGGCTGATGAAACTGATCATGTTTTGGTAGAAAACAGTGATGAAATCATTAACTTATCAAAAGAAATTCAGTCTCACTACAGTGAAAATGACGCACAGAGGAATGCCGTTGATGACGACACGAAAGAAACAACCAAGGAAGATGGCGTCCCGAAAGGAAAGCAAGGGTTTCCTGGTGATTCTGAGCTTCATGGACATGTGCAAGACGGCGAGGAACCATCAGCTGCCAAACAGGAAGCTTGTCACGAAGAGGTTGATTCTCGGATTACGAAAGATGGCAATCCAGTCATCACAGAAAGCGCCAATTCAGACTACACTCAAACTGATTCACAAAGTCGAAAGATGACGTTATTGGATATTGGCAAACAGCAATCCAAAGAAAGAGTGAAAAGGAAAGAAGAAGTTTCTCTTTCACTTGAAGAAAGAAAAAAACAGATACTGGGCGCTGCTGTATCAAAACCAAAATCTAAACCTGCTGATAAAAGAAGAAGCATCCTGCAAATTAAGAGCCGTAGTGACGGAAATCTAGTTAAGAACAAGAAAGAAGCGTTTGAAAAGCCGAAAGTGGCTCACACAACCTCGGATAGTTCCGTAGCTAAATCATCCAAGCAACGACATTTCCGATTCCGCGGTCTTAGAAAGAAATCTTTTGAGTTATC